AAAAAATTCTGTGTTACTATTGAACTTTTTTGCAAGTGTGTGATTTCCAATGAGTTAACTGACAAATGCTGATGTCACTGATTTCTGAGCAGGTGAATATATCTGAAACTGTCATAATTGGATTCTATCTGGAAAACTTTCGGCGATGCACAGATCTAACAATTCATTCTGGTACGAAAGAATTTCTGGCGCAGGTGGAAGTTTGTGACTGTCTGAGTCGATTGTTGGCTCTCCAAGTTCGTGTGGTGCCCATTCACAACTGTGCTTTAAGAGTAAGTCAGCATTGGAGCTATAAATATTATTTGACTCACCTGAATAACACTTTCACAGCTGTGAATGGATATTTATTTAATTATATGTACCTAAATCACAATGATTTATAATTAGTCAATGATTAATATTAGATGATTTATTATTATCAAATAATATTCTATGGTCAGTATTGACTTGTAACAAGTAAATTTCAGTACCTACAAAGTTACGTGTTTAAAAGGTATATCACTGGAACTTTTTAGATCCATGTTTCTACCCCCTATTGGCTGGTAAACAAGACTGGATTGCCCCTTGTGTTTAAGCAGGACGAAGCTCAGCAGGAAGCTGCTGGACAGTTTGAAGAGCATGAACTTGCTAGAAGCATGTCTCCACTATTGTTCTCATTTTCTGATACAGAAGCTCCTGTCATGTAAGTGTTAGTCTTTTATGATATCTTATTTTATATAATTATGATTTATATTTTTATTTATAATTATATATTTATATGATTATTTTCTATACTAGGGATTTTTTGGTGAACGATAAGGTCATATTGTACTCAAAATACATTGAAATGGCTAAAATCAAAATTAATCTTGGTATAACACTTTCCTTAACCAGGAGTTTTCTAGGATTAACACTTTCTAATGAGGAGTAATGTTGTAATGACACTAAACCAAGGGTTATCTGGATGCAAGAGAAAACATTTTGAGATAAGCGAATAAAATCTTTAGAAAAAAAAAGGATTTTTATAGGCTTAAAAATACAATTCCCGAATAATAATTTTGGTTATTATAAGATAACCGTGTTATATTCAGAAGTAGTTCATTTCACTAAACACGTGTTTTTTTACTCACTATTAATGAGTTAGTGGACTTAAAAAGCTAATCACATTCCGTGTGTTTAAAACAAGTTTATTATGAAAATAAATCAAACTTGCATTCAGAAAATTTTACTGAGGAAAGATTCATAAGTTTTGGGATAATTTTTTCCTACATATTAATCGGATCTTTAGTATAGCTATAACTTGTTTCATTTAAATATTGGACAATATAGTAGGATCAAACTTGAAACCGGTTTTAATGAATTAAGGGTTGATATGTGGCAATCTGTTTCGTGCATCTCTTGCGGGATTTGAACCTAGAACTGCTCACATTACAAGTGAGGGCTCTACTGACTTAAACAAAGGATAACTCACTAGCAGTTGGTAGTAACAAGTTTCCACTACCATAAATATATTACCACAAGTAGGTAGATAAATATATATACTCTAGTATACAAAAATATAACTGCCAAGCTTGGAGTGTATTGTGTAATCCTGTAGAACTCTCACTTTATTTAACCTTCTATCGAACATTTCCTGAAAAACAAAATAATTTATTTTTATTAATTAATAAAAAAAGTATTTACTGATGTCTAGAATAGCTTTAAAATATTCAGAACAGGACAGCTAATGCAAATGATATGCTCAAGTTTCAACAGAATTTTCTGAGCCATTTAAAGTTATTGAAACATAAACATACACTGAAACAAAAAAGATTGAAAAACATAAAGTGACAAAAAATACAAGAAACCAAAAAGATGGGATTTAATTACCTTGACTACTTTTAATTTGAAAGGCAGCTAATAAAGTAATCGTTATGTTTTGTCTCAATCTAGTTATATGTAAAACTAAGTACAGTTGTAATTCAAAAATATGTATTAAAGGTATATAGTTCTTGACACGGGAGCTGAGCATATTTTATCTTAAATTCTGTTGTTTTTTAGGTGTAGTATGAGAGTCGGCAAATCCCTTCATCCAAACGGTTACTCTCATTGGTGTAAAAGGTTTCACCTTAACCAATTATTAAGGTTCAAAAGTTTTATGAAGAGTGTTTTACTGAAACTACCAAATGCAGTTTTATAATATCAAAAGATAATGAGAAATGTAATTCATAATTACCAGTCTGGTCTATTGTCCCTTGGTGATATCTGAAGTCTTCGCACCTGCACACTTATTAAGGTTCAAAAGTTTTATGAAGAGTGTTTTACTGAAACTACCAAATGCAGTTTTATAATATCAAAAGATAATGAGAAATGTAATTCATAATTACCAGTCTGGTCTATTGTCCCTTGGTGATATCTGAAGTCTTCGCACCTGCACACCTAAAGTAAAAGGTTTAAATTTTAATGAACTGCAGGTATTCTAGAGTGATAGAGCATTTTTGTTTTATAACTTGAAAAATGTTGAAGTTCGTGTTATGTAAAAATATTAATTACTTATAGAAAGGAAGCTTTATCAGCATAATGCATGCATGTACCTGTAAAGCTTAAATGATATTTTTAATTGCCTGTGAAAGGAATTAACTTGGTTGTTTTTGCTCTAAATTGGCCTCAGCTATGCACCCATAGACATAGATATATAAGCTTTTTTTTAATTTTTGTTAATTTACACTGGGAAAGCAGTTTAATACAACACGTATACAATGTTGCTGATTTGAGTATAAAACGCCCACACTACCCAAGTTATTAGTTGGCTAATTATCTTTATATATATTTAAAACTTTTAGTATTTAATACTGAAATATGTTTTCCAAATACCATGCGGTAATTCATTTGCCACGTGGTTCAGAAAATATTTTGTTGAATAGTAACTTTGTACAAATATCTGAATGGGAAGGAATTAGTTTTTTTTGTTAAACTTTCAGTTTTGTAAATAACTGTTTCTCATCAAATTTATTCTTTGACTGAAATAAACCAGTTATCTAATTATGTCACCACACCAAGAGAGAGACGTACTGTTTTTCTATTGTTTCTTTCTTCCAAATACTTCATTTGACTGCCATTCCTTCACTTCTTGGTGGATTGACTTGAAATTTGGTTGGGTTTCACTGGGGTCCAATACACTCAGATGCCTTTTTCATTTTTTATTTGGGCTTTTCTAAGGATTTTATGAGGTCAGTGGTCAAACAACCCAAAAATGTATATTTTGGGCTCGTGTGCAGACATATTTACAGCTATCAAGATGAAGATTGGTACATATATAAATTTTCATTTGCCCAACACATTGACGTACAAAAAATTGGATTTGCCCATTTTGAGCCCTCTTAACTCTCTCAACATTGGCTCGTTGAATTTGACCGACCACGTGACCTCTTTGTACTCAATTAAAGTCTTTATAGATTTAATACTTCTAACTTTCATTATAGTGTGTAAATCTTCACAAAATTGGACAATCTTTCAGTTCATATTATAAGTCTTTCACATACAAAAAATCATATTTTTTAGTGTAGTATTTTTAATAAAATAAAATAAATATTTGTCTATGAATATATTGAGTATTTGTTGGAATAGTTCATATGCAAAGTAATCTCAAAAATCTCAAATTTCCTTTGTGTAATCTCTAAAACCTCCTAAATGCATTTCAAAAGTTTTATTTCAGTAAGACTTTATAGTTTATCTGCTTTTTCTGTACCCTATCTTAAAACAGGATTGGTCAATTCGACCGACCTTGTAATCACCAAAAAAAAATCAAAATAAACCTAAATTACCATTTTTTTCTTTCTAGAATGACTTCAAATTGTAACAGGAAACTACATTTGTTTATCCCAAGTAGCTCTAATTTTGTAACAGTATACATCTATTTATAAATATATTTTATTGTTTTATTGCCCATTGAACCATGTCTAACTACTTTTCGCACCATTGTAAGTTCTAAATCACTCAGGGAACGTGCAGCTCATGTCCTATACATTGATAAACAAAAATGGTGGACTTGCCCATTTTTAGTAATTATAGGGGGTCAAGATGTCACAAAAAGCATAATTTTAGGGTGTTTTGACAATTACTCCACCATATTTTGGCCAATTTACATGAGATTTTGTACAAAAATACTTTTGTTTACAGGTACCAAACAGAAATATGGACAATTTTGGAATTTTTGTCTTTTGCTCAATTTTTCAGCAAGGAAAAGCACAATTTGGGGGTTTCATGAACTATACATGTGTATGTCAACCAATTTGCATGGGATTTGGTACAAAGATACCTTCTTGTAGGTCCCATGCAGTGATATATACAGTTTTTGATTTTTCTGTGTTTCTCACAATTTTTCTGGTGTCAAAATTGGCTATTTTGGGATTGCGTGGTGGTGATGTTGCCCTCTTTAATTATGTTTAGCATTCTTGAGTAATTTTTGTTATTATGTTAAATCTTTATTTTCTATAAACTGATAAAATATATTTTTGTGTATCTGATAGGGTATACATAGTTGGTATCGACGTAAGAATGGGTCGTGCAAGTTAAAGATGTATTACCAACTTGCAACAATTTGAATATCACAAAATTAGTAATATGTAACTACAATTATGCTGATAGCTGTATTTTACAAAAATTTTTATAAAAATTGTACTTACCATTTCATTTGTTGCAAACTTTTTGTGTAAAGTCTAATTTATGAGAACTTTTTATTTTCCAACAAATAACGCGGAGAAAAAGTAACAATGTAGGTGTCTCTGTAACGCCCGTACATAAAATAACTTCATAATGTATGTTGTATGGTTACAGGTTGTTTGGATAAACAGTTTTAGTTTAATTTTATTTTGTAATCGGTTTTTCATTAAACGATACAATAAATAGAAAAATAGTTTAAAAAATAATGTACAAAATGAAGTAGAGAATGTAAGACTTCCAGAGAAAGCAGTTTCTAACCATGTATTACAAATCAATGTTCAAGATAGTCTATTGATCTTTCTACTACTTAATTTCAAATACAAGTAACTCATATTTTGACTTTTTATTAAAATGCTTCATGTATTTTCAACTGTGACACCTCAAAGTGAATACATTCAGGAATTGCTTGGCTTTGGCCCAGAGCCAATTTCTTTATTTCATTACATATTTCAACAAGATGAAGTTATTGTATTTATTGCAGAGGTTTTCCAATTACACATTGTCTGCCATGCCCAAATCAAGTCTTCCATTTCACTGGCCTCGACTCGACTTGGACTCGTTGCTGTGTGTTAGATTATCAAACATCCCAGATTGTTATTGGTCAGGTGGATTTCGTATTGACGACATTCAATCATTCCACGTGCATATGAGGTTTGTAGAAAGTGACACACATTGTTAATAAAGTTGTTTAATTAAGTTTTGAATGTAACACCATAAAAAGCTGTGATGTTTACAAAAGAATTAGGCCTGGTTGCATAAGGTTAAGTTTGATGCTGGACTTAGTTGGAAATTTATTTTGATTATAAACTATGCTTTATGTAGACAAGGACAATTTTGATGTGACTTGTGTACTTTTATAAAATGGATTTCTCAAGATCTTTTAGTATCTAAAACTGTAACAAGTTCATGCAAAGCCTACCAATTTCTGTTGTTTTATCTTTGCAAAATGGTGAATTAGTTTTGAGGGAATGCTGCAAAATATCTAGTTATGAACATGCTGTGTCTGGATAACTGTAACTAATTTAACTAAACCAGAACATTTAAGAAAAGTGTTAGATCAATATGAAGTGAAACCAACAGTCAAATGTGTGATGAATAATAGGTATTATAAGTACCAGGCCACGGAAAAAACAAAGAACACCAAGGGGGGTTACAACTTGGGAAATTGTGATGTGTATCTTGATCTCCGAGGTATCTGCAAAAGTAGGATTTGCACACAGCACTAAAGATACATCATCTACCAGATGTAAACTGTATTTATTTTTCATTAGCTCACCAGTAAGTTTAAGGGTTAATATTTTTTATTCAATTCTACATGGTTGACATAGCAAAGTTAGCATATTCTGTAGCTTTGCACTTAAAACAAATTAACTAAGCTCTTTCACTAGATTTACAAACTGCATAGGAGAAAAAGAAAAGAGAAGGAGTAAGTGTGCATGCTCAGTCGTACAACATACCACATGTTTACCACCTTTTATTGACTGGGATAATTATTGATATTTATTTTCTCTTCTGTAATTATCATTAAAGGAATTCCTCGATTAAATCTGACCTGTTAATATTGTGGAACAGATGTTAAACTAATAATTTTTTTCTCCATTTCCAGAGAAAATCAAGGAAAATCACATTTTCTACGTGTTGAGGTAATTCTCCAGAATGCCACATATTTTATTGTGTTTACTGATGCAGACAAGATGCCTCCACCGATCCGTATAGACAACTATTCCGAAGTCCCTATTGTTTATTACCAGACACACATCAGGGAAGAACGGCTGAAAACAATAATACGGCCTCACACCACAGGTATGAACTCATCATTTATAAACTAACATCACCTGTTACTGCCGAGTGTCTCAAGAGTGTTATACACTTGGCTTGGTTCTTACATAATTAATATTACATCTTTCCCTCTTATGCTAGTTTAGATAAGCCACCAAAACATTGTAGTTGCTGTGTATGTGTTTAAGTGAACCTGTATTCCCCCTCAAAGACATTAAATATACACATTATCAAATCTTTTCCCAAGAAATAACTACATTAATTTCATGTCTTTGTTTTTTATATATGTAGTTTTTGTTCGTCATTGGCCCTTGCAAGGACCTTAAACAAATTAACGGCAATGTCACATTCTCCTAGGGCACGTTCTAATATACTTGACGTAGCAGGTAATCTGAAATGTTCTTTTATATGTGATAATAATAATTTCGTTTTTGTAAAACAAATATAACCTTTCCGTCAGCAAGAACAATTAAATATTTAAACTAACCTACTGATGATGACTGTAAAGTTGGTATCAGTTCCTACTCTCTTACTTTTAGGATTTCAAATCTTTAGTTGTTTTTTTTACATTTTATTTATATCTTGTTTGTTTTTTTCTCACCTGTATGTTCCATTTTAAATCTTGAACCTATTTGTTACACCTGAGAGTGCTTGAGTCAAGTTTGTAAATTTGGCACTTGAATCATAAATGTTTCAACCTTATCCTGGTATCTGGGTTGTTGCTGATAATTTTAGAAACTAGCAAACTATAAACACACTTCATATTCCACTTCTCATATTATTTCTTCAGTTATTGACCCCCATATTGGTTATTGGGGGTCTTTGACCCAATGCGAGTTTATTAATCTACATGTCTTGTTTTGAGACTGTCGTTTTCTGCACAATTATTAGCTATTGTCCTGTTTTCTTTAGTAAGGATTTAATATCTACTTTGCAGTCTTTATGGACTGTGGGTCTCACTGAAATTGTTTTCATTAAGTCAACTTTCAACTTCTTTGTGGTAAAGTTATACTTATAAACAGTGCGAGTATCAACAAAAAAAAATGGG